CTCCGGTGCACGCGACAATGTATTAGCCGGGGATTCCATCAATAATTTGCATAAACCGACTACGAAATTTACGTGTACGCGACGGCGCGCGAACTTGAAAGTGCATTACAAGTTGCCCGCCGCGGCGCCTCGATTTACGCAGCCATTAGAACGTTCTAACGTCTTAATTATACGCGAGAGCATTCAGCTCCGGGAACAATTGGATTACCACGATCGGAAACTGCGTAAGGGCAGTTTTTAGTCGTTACCTAACCCCCTGCAGCGCAAGGACGAGCGATGAAGTTTTCTAGATTAATTCTGTAATCAATATTGCTCAGTGCTAAATCTGCCTTGCTGCTGCCAATTCATTATCTTTAAACTGAATTTGCATTTACAGTGAAGTGGAATATTCCTTTACGTTTTTTCTATGTTATTGATAGTGGAAAGTTATGTCAGCTTAGTAGCACAAGATAGCACTGAAAGGGGTTAATAGATGAATTGCTTACGTGTTGCAATTTTAGAACCTTGGTAGCTGAAAATTGAAACGACTGCAATCGCATAGGTCTGTTACAAACTTGGACGGTTAAAAGCTAGATTTTTGGATATCTGCACGTATACATGCAATTAACAAAGCGTGCGACAGACCATTCAACGTCCCAAATGCCAAGCCTGTCATGTTACGAACAAATAACATGGTTTCATTCCTGTCTTCGTTCGAAACAAAAAATATTGGCTTACATTGTTTTTCATTCGCACTGATTCAATGGACAAACAACATGCAAAAAGAAACGAATATTTATAATCATCCGCGCAGATCAAAACGATCGCTCTAGGACCGAGCGTTATCGACACTGTTTATACTGTCCAGATCGGAAAAACCGTTGTTTCTGGCAACGTCCATTTGTTCGCAACGCTCCACGTCAAATTTCCCCGAAGGCTCTCCCGCTCTGTCCCCTGGAGATTTTTGTTACCGTTTCGAGCGGTTTCTGCACTTTACGTTCTCGAATTTCATTCGGCTGATTTTCACGGCAACCGTGTGCCTCCCCTGCGCCGCGACAGCAAGTTTCAAAATGGCGGGCTGGGAACGCGATTAATGGAAAAGTTGGCGCGCTCTTGCAAATTATGAGCCATTCAAGTGAGAAATCTTTCCGCAATTTCGGAATCCTGGATTACTTTTCCACTTTTAGCTTTCTCTATTTCTGCACTGCTTCTTCTTCTTCTTTCTCTTCTTCTTCTTCTTCTTCTTCTTCTTCGTCGTGGTCGTCTTCCTTTTTTACCTCGAGTGTCTTCTCGACAATACAATGCACCGCTCGAGCTTTTGTCTCTCCTGACGTCGAGGTCCCTATCCTTTTGAAATTTGTTGCGGGACGCTCTCCCTCTGAGACAGAAATTGATACGAATTCGAGCTGGCCCGGTCGTCTTGGGATCGAGTTAACCGTTCGGTCTGCTCGAACGGCTGGCCGGCGAACTGATCGCGAGCGAAGCTTTCGCTGGACTTTTCTCGAATTCGTATCGACATTCCGGAATATCTGGAATTATTATCAGGGAAAGCTGTGCCGATGTATTCTGCCGGTGGCACAGTTCTGTGCGGAAATTCGCGGAACTATCCAGCGTTCAAGTATCCCGGAGTAAGCGTGGATCATCTGTCCCGAACTTGCCGTTTGGTCCATTTCTTTTTGTCCCGGGAAATGCGTGCGAACTATGATGCCTAGAATTTCTTCCATATTCAACTGGCTTGCATAACATTCTCGGTACATTACATTACGAGCTGCATAATATGTGATAATTGATAATTCTATGATAATAAAGTACCCTATAATTGGGTACTGATTTATCTAACATTAACCCTTTGCACTCGAGAGCTGACTTTCACCATTTGATTCGATATAACAAAATTACAAAGTGTTATATATCATATTAACATGCGAAATATTTCAATAAAATAGCTTTGTTTCTTAATTTACGTATGTTTTCTAGTGTAAAGCTTCCGAGTGCAAAAGGTTAATAGACGTTCGGTTCACGTTTTCAATCTTTCGAAAATTTGTAAACTCAGACGTTCAATGATAAAGGGGGAGAAGAGAGAGAGAGCGTGTGTGAAGGATCCAGGCTATATCGGCAACTATCGGCCTGGAAGAAGCTTATGCCGTCGTCTCCCGGCCGAATGTACTTCCGCCTAGAGAACCACCAGAGACATCAAGTTGGCCGGAACGCAAGACAAACATTCGTACGTTATCCTTGGGAATATTCCCGTTGGAGTGCTACGGGGGTTGACTAGTCGAGCTAGCCGAACTAGATATTGATAGAGACGCAATATCCTTGCCGAACTCTGGTTAAGCGAAAAGGGTAAGTCCTGAGTTAGCATAGGATAGTAGGGCAAACGAAACTGCTGGGACGGTGTGAACATGTATCCTTCTTCGATAAACTGGAAATGGTGCAATATAGGGAATCTAGGCCGATAGAAGTATATTACATTTTTGGACTGTTCTAGAGGAAAGCGATAAGAATTTCTAACATTTCGTTGTAGAGCGAATCTAAGCTCTTTTATTATTATCAAGACATAGCACCGCTATTAACTTCTATATAACTCTAATGCAATCACCTTCTATATAATATCAATATTCAAATCAAATGAATTGAAAATTAGCTCCTTAATAATACCCAAAGATCACAAATTTCTGTTATCAGAAGATTGACCCTTTGCACTCTGAAGGTGACCCTCAGTCATCACTTGACCTGACGCAGTAAATCTACAAAATTTAATATTTACTATTCACTTTCGTATAATGCCTCGATACGTGAAATATTGGAATAAAATAGTTTTGTTCCTTAGTGCACCTTTGATTTCCCTTCGTTTCAAAGAATTATCGTCTTCGCCCTGTTAAAAGATGTTAAATACTTCTACTGAGAAATTTCCGAGTGCAAAGGGTTAATCACGAAGTAACCGCAGAACCCAAATGAACATTGATACGTAACGAGTCAAACAACGCGACCGGAGATCGAAAGGTCGGATCACCTCTCGGGAACTAATCCTGTCCCGGAGACGACGCCTAAGAGTCTCCCATCAAAGAAAGGGGAACAGAGTGTTCAAAGGGAGACTCAAGAATCCCCGGCTTCCCGTCCTATCCTCGAGCTCTCGAGACACGTGTCCGCGATCCCAGAATGCACGGCTCTTTTCCCCCGCCGCCTGTCTGCCCTGCGCCGCCCGGCTCCCTCCCGGGTCAGCGGCTCGGCGGCCGGAATGCATTTCATCAAAACTTGCGGCTTTTCAGCCGCCGAGTAATCCCCGCTCCCTATTCAGTTTCCCGCGCGAACCGGGGACTCGCAGTCCACGACTGCGTCCGCTGTCTCCGTCAGCCCGACCGTCCGCGCCGGGTTTTCAGAATTCGATTTGCGAAACGCAATCCGGAGTACGTAAACTAATTCTTCGAGTTGATCGCGCCGGCGAACTCGCCGGGACAGTTACGCCGAAGTTGGC